CACTCCGTGCTCAGAACCAGTTGCTGGTTCAGTTTCTGGGTGGCCGAGGGCCCGTGGGGTTCGCTCTGGCGCCAACGCTTCTGCGTTCACTTGCGCCGGATCCGGGTACGGCATAAGCAAACCCACGTAAAACACCGGATTGGTGCGCATCCGTTTTGGAAGGTTTAACGTGTACGCTAGGCCCCGCCTGGCCACAACCTTAAATGGTCCGATAAACGATGGACGAACCTTCGTCCTGAAGATAACAGAGGCTGCATATGTAGGAAGGTTTTTAGATTTTAATAAAACCAGGTCTCCGACCCTGAAGATTCTCACTATGCCTTTTTCTTTTCATCTGCATATCGTTCTATAGGCGCAGAACGGTGTGTAGCCAGTCGACGAATGCAATGCATTGTTCAGCGCAAACTCGACGAGTGGCAACTTGGCGCTCCAGCGCCTCGGCGTCTCAGCGCAAACGCCGCGAAGAACGTCTTCGATAGTAATTTATTTAATTTCTAAATTTAATAATTGACGCGATTCTTTCGGTTTGACCATCGGTCTGCAAATGATCCGCTGTCGACATATCTAACTTGGATCTGAGCACCTTAAAGATTGTTGACCAGAACTTTTTACGTGAACCGGGGGTCTCTATCAGTGACAATCGACTCTGCGATTCCGTGTTGTCGAAAAACACGATCTACATACAGCGTTGCTGTACCGACTCCATCGATGGTGTCTGGCACCGTCGACAAATGAGCCATCATGCTTAACCGGTCGACGAATACCACGACACCCGTGTTGCCCGCCGAATCTTTCGGCAGGCCAAACACAAAGTCCAAAGTCATGGATTGCCAGCACCCAGTGGGTACCGGTAAGCTGGCAAGCGGCGCAGCTGCATTTGGAGAGGGTTTCCCCCTTTGACACGTCTCACATGTGCGCACATAGGGGGTTCGTCCATTTCTACAGCTTGAGCCACCATAGTGGTGACTCACAGAGTTGTTCGTTTTCTCACGACCACTGAATGGCGTGTCGGGAGCCTCATCAGAGGAGGCAGTAATTTTCATCATGAGGAACCAGATTTGTGGTAATGAAAGTTGGTGATAATACTTTGATGCTTCGATGATTCTTATAATTTGTATTTTAAGATTAAAACAAGTGATCATGTTTTGTGGGAACGCTCTATGATGTTTTCATCAGTCACAAAGCAATGATACTCCGAAATCGCTGCGCAAATGGCCACATATAGCAAGATCGGCATTGCTTGCTCTACTGAGCTCGCCTGACTCTACCATCGACAGATGCGTGCGCCCACAGCTTTCCACTTGGACTATTCATTCTAACTTATTGCATGTTTCGACGAGTACGACCCGACGTTTTCGATTGTTTCGGTTGGGCTGGAAAATCCAGTCGACACCACCATCTCGGTGACTAACCTTGACACATCCAATGTCTGGATGCTCTCAATCCTTACGAATGTTTGCCAGATTCATAAAAAAAGCAGGACGACATAATCGTGCCATTCCTGGTTCAGTCCATGAATGATCGCTCTCATTACAGATATATCCACGTCCTTGTTCCAGTACTTGCTCTCACGAAGGAAAACGCTTTCTCGTGCTCAATCTCCACATCTTGAACTTACAAATCACATCTTTCCGTATTGCAAGCTCGAACCAAATGGCCATTTCTACAACCATTACGATTAATACTAATAAATTTTGGCGGCCACTTCGCATTGGGTGGAGCCAAAAACGGAATAATCCTCTTCGACACATTTGTGCAGTCTTCTGCATATCCTTCATATGATTTACTTACAGACATACTTCTGTTGGTGCTTCTGCAATGCATCTCCACCTTCTTCCACACCTCATCTTGAAATTCATCAAGAAACACTCATAGAAGACATTAAATGGAATGCCTTACACAGCATTTTGCCGTGAAGAAGAAAAAAATTGCGTGCGCGACCATATCCTCAAACGACTTGTAGTCATCAGACACAGCGTTGAAATTCTCGTGCATAGAAAACTTTGTTGCTTTTGCAAAGACGCACTTGGTCGAGTAACGCTTATCAATTGTGTAGTTGTAGTAGCTTGGAAAGGCTTTCCCACCCAAGATCGCCAGATGCAACAGCACGTCTTTGTTGATGGGCAGAAAACAGCATTCAGGGAACCATGGCCTAGAATTTGTCACCAATGCATTATTCCCTGCAAACATATCCTTTACTTCGTCGTCAATGAGATTCGCATAATGCAAATGCTTTCCGATGGCCCCCACTTCCAGTTGAGTCTTCTTTCTCAGTGACTCTTCTTAGTTTTCTCCCCAAGCGACAACATTTGAATGCGATATCGCCATTAGCTGCGCACTTTTTCCCAGCTTCGAGTTCAAATCGCTTTTCCTTCGTGTGCTTTCAGACTGACATATGCAAAGGCATCGTCTAGCAAGCGGCAAAGCTCGACCTCGCTTGTTTCAACCACAAATTATACTAATCGTTCCATTAAAAACCTTGCGAATTATGCACGAGAATACATCACAATGTCTTGTACAACAGGTTATTTTGCCACAAGCTTCTGCCACGTTTGTTGGTCTTCCAATGTATTCAGCACTAATTGATAGCTGGGAAATACGGGAACAAGCGTCATCCATCAGTGCCAAACGACGGAGCTGTGCTTTACTTGCTCCATTAAAGTTCGTGATCTTAGAGTCTGTGCCCATGACGATGACCACAAGACCGCATGCACGAAACACATTGCGTTAGAAGGCAGACGTATTCATGCCTCCCGCCTCAATATTCTCGTTGGGACGCATTTCATCCAGTACGAAGAACGGCAAGACTTTCTTCTCTGCCTTCATTTTGTTAATCAGAGCGAAAACAATTTCCCGCTTGTATGGCTTTACGTTAAATCTCGTCGCATTGTCAAACCAAATCATTTGTTGAGCACTTTGATGCTCCGCAGAGCTGCAATACTTGAGTAATGCGCATATGAAGCCATAGGTCCACAGCAGATCATTCTGATAAATGCTTGAAACGCAGTTCAGCACAGACTCAGTAGCTTTTTTCTTTGGAGTGTCTTTTTGAACCACAACATCGAACGCGTTCGATATTTGGGTAAAATTGCGATAGAGACGTTGAGATTGGGATCCAACTGATGTGTCCATCCAGTAATACCAAGGTCGCCATCCACCCAATGCAAATGCTAGTTGCGATTTTCCAATACCTGATAACCCTTCCACGCAGATGAACGGGATTGGGGTCTCGTTCCCGTCAGAGAGCTCGTCGATTTTGTCCAAAATGTGCGCACAATAATTTCGGCATTTGTCTTGAATAAGACGTCCACGATGTTGATAGTACGTCAACTCTTGCCGAAATCCCTCTGTGTCTTGGCCTTCTACAACTGTGACGGAAATTTGGGTTGATTCTGCTGCTAGGTTGCCATTAATGATGCGGCTCCTCGGGTTGCAGCAAGTGCATCTGCTTTTTCGGTAGGAACCACTACCAATACATGAACAGGGACCTTTTTCGCCTAAATATCCTCCACCGTGACTCGAAAGTAAACGTCATTCTCCGATAAAACAACTAGGTTCAGCAGCGCCTCCACAACGTCCAATAGCTCAATATAAATTATGTCACTAACACCATTTTTCACCTCATTCTCAGTCAGCCACGATTCGCCATTCTTCGCGAGATGTAGCTCTAATTGATCCGCATCGAACGCCTCCAATTTCTTTTTCTTGATGGTCTTCTTTAAGTGGCCCACCGACTGGCTAGACAGAGAACGCGCTTCCTTTCACACCACGGATCGCGTACTCAGTCAATCCATCAAATTAAAAGGTATAAATCTACATGGGTGTTGTTGCATCTAATTGGCTGAAATATGAGACGTGGCAACTCCACAGTTGAAAAGCTATTCTGCGTTGGGGATTCTCCGTAGTGGATGCGAGTGAGTATGCTGACTAATTGATGGAAGTGCAAGAAGTTTGACTATTCGACCGGCTGTTTCTCGCCAAGAAGGGTGACGCGTGGCTGACTGAAAACCAATACATTGATCAAAAATTAATTCCAATCATCTTTTAGCAATTTACTAAGTGAAAATTATTAATGCGATTCCAAATGTATCCAAACTTTAGAGACCTAAATGATAGATAACGGTCTTATTTCTCAGAGTAACAGCAGCGATATATAAATTTTCGTTCTATACATAGCACAAAATTTTAATAGAGTCTTTAGCATTATATCGTAGTATGATATACAGTACTTCATCGTCAACTTGAAGCTTTCCAGCATGGCAAAAGTTATGTCTTAAATGTTTATACTAGATCATCAAGCAAATCTACTCACGTCTTTCCATCAAATATCCTTAAGCACATTGTACTAGATAGCTATAATTAAGCAGCCAATCACTTTACACAAAGGGGGCGCAATCTGCTCATATGGTTTAAGGGGCAAATTCAGTAGTACATTGCCACTAATTCCGGTCTGGAAGCCTGTTTCTATGCTTCAATGTACTATGAAGAAATATTTCTGGAACGGCATCAGTTCCAAACATACATGAACTGTACGGAGAAAGACCTTTGTAACAATATCTGTCGCGATTCAAGTTATTTACTCTCCCAAATATCCACTGCTGTGACTTAAAAGTCCAGAATTTTAAAGAGCGGGACACAGTTGCTATTATACAGGCGATAATGGCCATCTATTTCATGTGGTATCAAAAATCATGGCGCTACACACAAGGAGAAGTGCAAGAGGAAATACAATATGCTCTCGTGGCACAATATGTCCGTCGCGTGTCTTATTGAAGCAATATCCTTTTCGGATGAACATTAGTACACGAGTATTACTGTCATAAGACTTGTATGTAATCACGAAAAGGCAACTTCAGTAATCACAGCTGAGTATTTCTTTTAAACCAATCAGATATCATATGACCGTTTTTTCTCACGGGCAACGCGCCATTTGTTTCCTCCCTTCATTTACGCATTTAAGACAACTAGCTCAGATTACGAAAGGTCTTCATCGCTTCCCCTTGTTTGAAATATTTCATTCTTCTGCAGTCTCTATTATCCCAGACGGACAAATTTATTAACTAAAGTTTGACATCCAGAAGCGCGACACGCCGTTTCAACTGGTCATTTACCACCACTAAACGACACGCGATCATACAACCAGACCGTGAACCTCTTTCTTCTGTTCATGGGCCGTGAGCCGTCTCTTTGAAAAAATCATCTCTTATATTCTCCTTCTCTTACGATGCCTATAACCAACAACAATCAACCCACATTTACGTCTGAACCGCTAGCACGGCCGACGTCGCCCCCACACGCGTTTCATGTAGACGATGATGCGTCCGGTGATTTAGGTGACAACAATAACGAGTTTCCTCAAGCCGAACAGATTCTCGTAAGTCACTTACGCTTTGCACATGCTCTTCGCAAGAATGATGCGGCCATGATATTGCAATATTTATCCAAGGATGTGACGCTTATATCGATGGACGGCGCAGTCCACGAAGGCCAGTCGGCTGTGCTCGCGTATCTCGTGGGTCCCCGCATGACAAAAGTGAGTGCAAATCTTCATATTAAAGGCTGTCCGTCGCGTTCGGGAGTGTGCCAGTCGACATTTATTTACGAGCATGGCATCGTTTTCAAGGATCCGTTGTTCATGGAAGTGTTGGAGTGGAAGCCTCAGAACGCAACGATCATTCGAATCACGCATTTTGCGCTTCCAAATGCAAAAAGTGGAAAGACGCCACACGATTTTAGTAGATCAATGCCACTTCGACTTTCGTTTGGAAATCGGATATCGGATGGCGATCCAAGTGAAGTTAATGAAGATTCAGATGGAAACGAGACAGGCGAATCAGAGAATTACAGAAATAGCGTTTCCGGACCTGTCAAAATGCGCTCTCGACGTCTTAAATCCAATAGTTCAGCTGATACGAACAACTCAAACATTACAGCGGATACAACAAGTTTACGACGTTCCAGTAGCAGTGGCAGCAATCGAAGTGGAGGGAACGAGGCTGCTATCCAGCCATTGACGTTTGGCTCGATGTCATCTTCAGGAATTCGAAAATCTGTGCCAATGCTTACACTTGTGGAGATTTCATGTAAAGGTTTGGTGCCTATTCGCAAGCGCAAGACGGTGAATCCTTTTGTACTAATGCGCTGTCCAGTAACCAATTGTGTTTGGAAGAGTCCGATCATGCGTCGAGATCCGAATCCTAAGTGGACTCATCTTCGATTTAAGGTTCCTACTCAAAATATCGCTGATGTGGTGGAAATTTCGTTGTGGGACCATACTTTCTTTCGTTCAGTGAAGGTGGCTGGAGCAGCCCTCGTCTTGTCTGATGTGCTCAAAAACTCGTCTGAGTTCTGTACTACAATTTGTCTGGAACGATTTGACGCAACTCGCTGTGCTGGTGAACCTCAGCATGTGTCAATGCAGCTTCGATTCGTGCAAACTGGCGGAAGTGATTCAGTTGTTCGCTCCTCTAATGAACCAGACCAAAATACCAATAAGTATGAGAATAAGCCGAGTCAGAGTAAGCTGACTATCCCTTCTGGCTCAACCTTTCGTTTAAAGTCGCTGGTACTGTTTCCGTTTGTGAACGGTCATGACACCAGCATATTGGCGATGGTTGTTCTGGCTGCTATTGTTGCGGCAGTTTTCTGGATGCTAATTCAGTGGCCGTAAATTACATTAAGTTAAGTCAAAACGAAAGAAAAACTTGCATGGTGATAAAGCGTATTGTAAATTAAAAATTGATTTCTTTATGATCGGTCTTTGACAACGATATATGTTAAGGTTGTGGAAATGCAGGAGTAAACTCGCTGTTAATCACGTTCGAAAGTGATGTAAATAAGTCGTTGCGAGCCCGCAAATCAGCCCAAGGCACCCATATCCAACCCTCACACTTTAACGGCTCCATGTTCCTTATAATTTGGTCGTCGTCTACTGTCGCCTGCATAAAGATCGTTATATAATGCTTGCCCTCGTCCTCCATTGGATCATTCGTCACTGTAGCAAACGAAACCTCCTTCAGGTCCAAATCTGTCAACGTACGAAATGGTTATAGCAAAAGCATGACAGACACACGATCCTTATCACACACCTGTTTCCTCTTTCAATTCCCGTAGTGCACACTCTTTCCAGCTTTCGAACATTTCCAAATGTCCACCCGGTAACGCAAATTTTCCTTCACCATGGGATCCTTTGCGTTGGCCGATGAGCACACAATTTGGATGTTTTCTCGACATAAGCAATACTCCTACACCCACGCGAACATGAGTTTTTTGTTCCTTCAAGTTAGCATACTCCTCCTGAAGCGTTTCCAAGCTACAGTGTAAAAATTAATCACCTAAAATGTTAAGCTTCAATTGCAATATTTCGTTAAGGTCAAAAGAGTCGCACCGGTTCGTCTCTGAAGTATCTTGCGTCTCAAGGAAGTCGATGACAGCATCCAAGTTTGACGTAGAACTAAGCTCGCTCCACTGACTAGCTTGACTGATCTGACTTAATTGGCTAACAGGTTCGGAAATTCCGTCGCCACAAGGTTGAGCACAAAAAATGTCTTCATTGTCTTCTTCTGCTACTATCGTTTCCTGTGGAGACGGGGACAGCGCGGACGTGACAACATCGACTACAATGGTATCTGATGCAGAGGACGTAGCCTGAACTATGCTTTGTGTAGACTGGCTGTTCGACTGAGCTGTACTATCAGTAACAACAATTGCGATCCATATAAAAGTATGTAGTTGACGTACCTCGCTGACACTAAGTTGACTGGAGCACAGTAACGAATCATCTTTTTCTATATATCTCATTAAAAGCACCTTCATCTTGGCATTCTCTCGGGCCTACAGAATTGTTGCCTCGTTCAAATAAATGACTATTAAGTACGTTACTGCGAATTACCATGAGTACAACTTTGCGCTTGGCTTCCAGCAGTGCCAGATGACAAGCATTTAAATCATTTTCAGCATCATGTAGCGTACGCCGCTTCTTCTTTGGCGCCTTGTCGATCGGAATGGGAGGAGGAAGAAGGCTCATAGTTTTTAAAAGTTTTACCAAATTTTCGTCTTACTAGAGTATACATTTTAATAGTAAATGGCAAATGTCAATGTTTTTCTCAATCATTGAACAGAATGGGCATTATAAATCACATTATTTGAGGGTTTATATACCGTAAGAAGTTTGATAGCGTCATACATGTATGTCACTTTCATGTTTACGTATGTGATTACGAATGCTTTGTTGGAGTAAAATGACTACGTAAACCATAAATGGGTAAGTACACTAATATGATACGTTCACATTTCGCGGGACCCAAAGTGAAGCTCCGGTGATACCCTAATGGAGTACATTACTCGTCGTGAATCTGGAATCGGTCAAACAAACACAAGGAGAATTCAGGAAGAAGTACGACGAGAAGTGGTAAAAGCCATGAGCGGGAGCTGTACTGCTGAGGGTTTATTGAAGGACTTCACGTCAATCTGGACGACAGTGCAGATTTCTTTTTGATGACACCAAAAACTACTGCTATATCATTACCCAACGTGTTGGCTCGATTTGTGGCAGTGCGTCAAAGCAAGGTAACTTAGAGCTTGTGTGGCTTGCACAGAAGATAAAAGTAAGCTCTCTCCCAACTGGAAGATCAGCAAGAATTCACCATCAAAAATTTACCCGGGTTTTGCCAAGTGCAATGGTGGATGGATGAGAGTGGTTCTCAGTTGTGGCTTGAAGTTATGTGGTAGCTTTTAAAGCGTATAATTTGGCGTCATTCTCATGAATGACAAATTCTAAGTGTCACTCAGTCCTATATGTGCAAAATCTTCATCTGAGGTTGAGACAATGCTCAGTGTCTACACTTGCATGCTTCAGCCATGCAAGAGGGATATATACAAGCTGCGTGGTTGATAACTCAAGAGGACGATATGCAAAGTGGTGACGAAGTTTGGTATCTGAGCGCAAAGGCATCGTCCGCTGGTTACAAATGGTAACACATAGAATGAATCTATCTAGTATCGTAAATCATTTATCGTACATTAATTCGATCGTAGATACCAATCAGTTAAAATCAAGATGGTAATTATATCATAATGGTATAAATCATAAGCCTAGATGGTATAGCTGTTGCTTGGTAGAGAACAAGCATACCGACACTCGATGCTTCGGCGAGAGGCAAAACATGCTTCAAATTCAGTGTTGATAAAAATTTGATACATCTATTATTAATACTTTCGAGCAAGTTAAGCACTTTTGCGTTAAACGACGATTGCAGTCTAGTATATGTGAATGCTTTCCATTCTACATGAACAGACAAACTTAGTGAGTATCTACGTTTTATGAGATTTAAACTACATTATAGAATACAAAATCGGCATGTCTCCCAATATTGCCATTTTGTTAAATCCTCGCTTAATCGAAGCTAATTTACCAACGAGTATTTAGCTCCCCATCCAGCGATATGACGGCAAACGATTTCCATCTTCATCTACTTGGCAATCACGATTAAGACACACCCAAATAAGGGCAAGCGTGGATTGCTTGACGCCGTCTTGAGACCGGATGAACACAGCGCCATTATGTCCACAATTAGGACATGCCACGTCATAATCGCGCTGCAACGTCGGGTCATCAATTACATCGCCCGGAAGCACATCTAGTTGTACTCTACAGTTGTATAAATGATATAGAAATAAAGTTCAGATGTGATCATACATAAAGAGAACTTGCAATCTTTAAACGTACCGTGTGTCTTTAACTAGCTCATTTACATAAATACAATTCTCCTCCACGTCTTCAGACTGCCCGCAATTACGGCATCGAAATACGAGGCGACGAATCTCGCGGTCTTGGCTTGGATACAGCATGTTATTGCTGAAAAATGATATAACAAAAGTAAACATGCAAGTTAGATAAGAAATAAATGGCATGTAACGTATGCATGCGCCGACTCTCTAAGCAACTCTCAAGTGAGAAGTTGTGGATGTAGCAGCGGTTCTTAGAGAGGATCAACGACAGAATCGAGTAAGCTCACCATTCGCGGCAAAAGCGCATTCCAGCGGTGGCCATCGTCACAAGTAAGTGTTTTTGTCAAATAAGTGCTATTTATTTATCAACCCCTATAATCAATAAAATATATTATATTAAGCACTAAGCCTAGATTACTACTTTGCAGTTGCGAATTAATCGCATAATGCCATGAGATCCGACGTGGATCTGGCTCAGCTTGCTCGTCTACAATTAAATACCTTCACTAGGGTCTCTAGCCACTAGATCACGTCATGAGTATGGCTTTAATCCACCCACAAGCTACGTCTGTTTGCTAAAAGTAGGCTTATAAATATAAACATGCCTATCGAAATTTTTCAAAACTTTTACGATACTTGTTCATGTTGAATAAACAAGCTAAGCTGGTGATCCTCGAAACGACATTACAGTGTGTGACTAGTCGGTCGTGACGATTGAGTTGAGATCTTAGAGCTTTAGATCGGACACACAGCTCTCCATAATAATATTATTGAACCGTAAAATGACTTTCGTTGGAATCTTCCGCTTTGCACTAATGACAAGTCTAGCACTACTTCGGATATGTACAATGACCTCATCAAATACTATTCAGCTTACAATGTCGAAGAATAAGGTTCCAAGTCAAGCTTTGAGTGCGTTACAAGATCGATCCCTTCAGACGAAAAGATATAACAAATCGTCAAGTGCAAATGTAGCAGAGACTGTTGAAACGGGTCTTCGCACTGCTTCTGGATCGCACACAATACAAGTGACTGTCGGTGGCCAGCGCCTTGAATTGATCGTTGATACGGGTAGTGGGAAGACAGCATTTGTTTGTGTTGGTTGTAATCAATGTGGTATTGAACGAAAGCACCATCCATTTGTCTTTTCAGAGAACACGACGTATTTAACTTGTGATCATTCGATGACTACTCCAACAAATGACAATGAACCATCGTGTGAAGGGTGTGAAAACAACAAATGCATGTACGGCCAATCATATGTTGAGGGGGATCGCTGGATAGCGTACAAGGCTTCTGACATTATGGAGCTTTCTTCTTCATTTCGAGCACGAATTGAATTTGGTTGTATCTATCAGCAATCTGGTGTGTTTCTAGAACAGCCTTCGGACGGCATAATGGGCTTTTCGCGACATCCGGATTCAATACATGAACAATTTTATCGACAACAAATTACTCGTTCACGCATTTTCTCGCAATGTCTAGCTGCAAATGGCGGGTTGCTTACAATCGGTGGAGTGGATCTAACTCACCATACAAAATTGGTGCGCTACACCCCACTTCGAAGTACTGGGTATCAGTACTGGACTGTGACCTTGCTTGCTGTATCGATTGGTAATGCTAGTAATATTGTGCGTGTGGACAATGAAGAGTACAATGCAGATCGTGGATGTGTACTTGACAGTGGAACAACCTATTTGTACATGCCTGAAAGTGTCAAGAAACCATTCCAACTCGCATGGTTCCGAGCTGTTGGGAGTTTCTTACATGTACCTTTGAGCGATACATTCTACACTTTGACTACTGATGAAGTTGCAGCATTTCCAGATATTTGCTTCTGGTTTATGAATGATGCGCACATTTGCCTTCCATCAAGCCGCTACTTTACTAAAATTGGGGACGATACCTTCACAGGCACCGTGTTTTTTACTTCAGGACCAAAAACAACCATATTAGGAGCTAGCGTGCTAGAAGGTCACGATATCATTTACGACACCGACAATCATCGTGTGGGAATGGCTGAGGCCATGTGTGATCAATCTCTTCAAGCTGAGGTTGAGCTCAGTCTTGATCCTGGTGGGGACAAGTTCCCAACAAACTTTGATTACTCGCAAGTCCCTGAGTGGATACTTGGTTGTGTCATTTTTTTGGCTATAGCTGGTCTGATAAATGTGATTTGGGTCGCAGCTGCAATCAACAACGAACCTCTGGAAAATGCCAATAAAAGTAGTACAGTCGATATATGCTGCGATTCGAGCGAGGACTTTTCCTTTTTCCTCATGGATGAACGCGACTAAAAAACGAACTTTCGAAAAGAAATGTGTTGTCTTTTATCCTAGAGCAACATCCATGACCATCATGACGACAAACCCTAGAATTGTACCAAACGTTGCTAGTTTTTGATTGCCGCTCTGGGTCGTCTCAGGTATTAAATCATCCACTACGACAAAAATCATAGCACCAGCAGCAAAAGATAGTGCATAGGGCAAAATTGGCTGGACATATAATACTGCCCCCGCTCCTATTAACTGTATCCATCCAACCACGACACAAACAGTCAGTATTTTTCTAATACCCTACATCTAACTACAATAAACGTACCCCTCCAATTGGCTCGACAAGTCCACTCGCTTGTCCCCACATAAATGCTTTAAATGCTGTCATGCCTTCTCTTTTTAATGGCATTGATACTGCTAAACCCTCTGGGAAATTTTGTAGACCTATGCCAATTGCCAAATTCACAGCATTGACATAAGTCGCGCTAGTACTATGGCCAATACTGCCAAATCCGACTCCCACTGCCATTCCTTCTGGTAAATTATGTAGCGTAATGGCAATTACCAACAGCAAAACTCGACGAAAACTGCTGAGATGTTGTAATAAAGGCTTTTCAAAGCTTTTCACTTCCTTCTTGTCGTTATAATCGTCATCTTTCTTCTTTTTCTTAAGCTCTGAATCGTTTCCACTCATAGACAGTGGAGATAGACCTAAATACTTTTCGAAAAAGGGGAGTACTCTTTCAGTCCCAAATAGCGTTAATGCACCGAGTATAAAGCCAACAGCAGCAGGTACAAACGACCAGCGGCCATTTGGACCGTATAGATCAGATTCTGCAGCGATCTCAATGGATGGAGCCAATAGCGACCAGTACGATGCAGCCAACATCACACCACCTGCAAAGCCGAGCATACCATCTAAGAGTTTTTGACTTGTAACTTGATCTTCGACATCTAATACAAATACCATGGCAGAACCGAGAGCAGTGAAGCCCCAGGTAAGAAGTGTGCCAAGAAGTGCTTGAACGACGGGATGCTGACCTTTAATCATAAGAATATTGAAGAAAGATACTACTCCGAAAGTATTACGTGCTTGTTGTAAAATGTAGTACAATACGGTAGTTTAATATATTTTTAAATGTACTATTTCAAGAGAATTTTGGCAAGATAAGAGCATTTTTTTAATATTCTCTTCAAGTCACGATAAATATCATCACTTTGCAATTATGAGAACTATGCTACATCTAAATACGCTGATACTGCTGCCGAGTGTATCCTCTCTCACGACGATGACGGTGCGCGTACACAGTGACTGCTAACATAAGGAAGGCACAACTAATGAAGAGAGAGATAGTAATACCTGATGCTGACTCCTTAGGATCCGTCGCTTGTGAGACAGTTGCTTGGGATTGTTGTGCCAACGCTTCATCATGATGACTATTTTTTTTATTTGTGTTGCTTGCAGATGTCAGAATTCCTCCAGCAGCTTCACGTTCAAATGGATCAGAAGGGTATGAGATCTTCGAACACTCGTCGCCATAAAGAAAACAGTCAAACAGGTGGAGACCGTGGAGTGGACGCACTGCTGGGACCATATGCCCAGCACCTTTGACAGTCTTAAAGGTAAGACCAAGTTCAAATTGTTGATGATACCCAGCTATTTGATCATCTGGACCAAGCCACGCACGCCAAGGCGATACTGGTTTAAGTGCAAGACCATAATCCTCTGTAATCCACCGCTGAGTACCCATAAAATTAACTACTGAATCCGAATCACCGCTGTAGATTAAAACTTTTAACCCGTTGCCAAGAAGTTTACGATATTTGTCCAACGTTGAGAATGTACGATCAAAGTTGTGTGAAATATACGACTGGCAATCGATCCACTTCATTGGCAGGTCTCCTTCAATATGTAGTGCCTCTTGTACATCCATTCGATTCAATAATGTCCTGGTGAAGTCACCAGCGCATGGACCCACAACTCCACGATGCGTCTTATATTTTGTACCCATTTTAGCAACGAGATGAGAGTGCAAGGCATTCCGCTGGTTGTTTCTCATGCGACACACATCGCCATAGATGTAATAATGATTAAACTCATCTGTATCTGCAGCTTCATGAGCTTTAATAACCGCTTCTTCACAATGCGACGTGCAATTAACATTCGTGAACATACACTGCGATATATTGTGCTCACAATAATCTAAAAGCGTCAGATAGTCTCCATGCGATATAAGAGCATGGGAGTAGTAGTACTCCATGTATGCATTGCCATCGATCTGCATATCCGTGAGGGGATTTCCGATAGCAAAACCTTTAAGATGAACCCCTTCGAGCGGATCGTCTACCAAACGCTCCACTAGAAAGGGGATGTACATACCAGCGTAACTCTCGCCGGCTAGATAAAAGTCACGACCTTGAAGCTCCGGATACTTGTTATAAAACTCACGAAGGAACAGCCGAAGTCGGTCTGATACAATGTTATCATTGTAATATCCAGCAGTAGTTTGAAGGGGTTTGCTAAAGCCGACGCCAGAGGGTGAATCCACCCAAACAATGTTGGCACGAGCGTTCCAGCCATACGGATTGAGTCCCACAGTACCATCCCGCT